AATATAGACTGGTTCTCCTCTCTTTTCTTCAACACACCTTACTATATTTGAATATCCTGTAACTATATAACATAAAAAAGGCAATCACCCACCAATACCAGAACTGTAAGGGCAACCCTGGAGGCCTGAGATCAAGGTCCTAGCAGGGGAGGATCCAAAGAGAAGAAACTCTAAGGGTCCGCCTGCTAGGGAGCTGACTATATACTGCTTGTCCGTAGCTGCCGCTGTCGGGCACAGAAGGCTTGGGCGGCGTTGCAGGCGAGGTCCCAGGGCGACCGTCGGGAGGGCGTTGACGGAATCGGAATCGGACCGGAATCGGACGCGTCTCCGGGCTGAAAGGGAGGTTCCCCTGACAAGAACAATAATCGAAGAATGCAAATTTTTTGAAGTTGAAAACCTTCTATACTGGTAGCAGGGATAAAATTATGTATTGTTCTGGTCAGTTGCAGCCAAATCTACCAATAAATGCAGTGTAAATATCAGTCTATAAATGTTGTAGAGATAAATTAAAAATTCTATACTGTTGTTTTTTTCTATAAATTGGAAATACTTTTCAAAAGCAGTGGGATCATTATGCATTATGGCCTTCACTTGTTGCCAAAGCCATCAAGAAATACGACCATACTGGGAGTACAGTACACTATACTGACTGTTTATCATTTGTGTTTGATCTATTCCTTATATTTCATATGCAAACTTATTGTTATTATAAACTGTACTACCAATTTGTGGAGAATGACAGGCACAATGCCGAAGTTTCACTCAGAGCGACAAGTTCTCGGGAGTGAGAGGTTGTCAGGAGTGACAAGTTGTGGGGAGTGACAAGTTGTGGGAAGTGACAAGTTGTCGGCGAATGACATAGCGAGACTTGTGGCAAAAAGAGCCCACATTTCTCGCAAATGTCAAAGAAGCGCAGAGTTTCTCCTCGGAGACCGGTCTTTTTTCTCGGGCTATTTTTTCCCCATTTCGAGCGCCATACACGTGCAAATTAAACATGAACCTGTATGTTCATCTTCCAAACCTGTATCAGTATGCCTTGAAAATTGACATATGCCTTGTTAAAGTTATTTTTGTCCTCTCGAGATATTCCTTTCAAGTTGGCACTATTTCGTATTCCTGTGGTTTTTTTTTTTGTCAATATCAGATGTTTTTGATAGTATGATGATATTAAGTATGCAATGGACACATACGTTTAGAACCAGTACTCCGACTCTACCGGCTCTGCCCGCACCGAAGCTGCCGTCTTGATAGATGGCCACAGGTGCAGTGCAGCCATACACATGGGCACCTGCAACGATGGTCTTGGTCGCTGGGAAGGGTTGACGATGGGAACCGGAAAAACTTGTACGTAATAATCGATTGATTTCACATGTGATACAAATGTGATATGCAAGATGGTGATTCCCAACCCGACGAACCATCATCCCGCGGCGCTCCCCGGTACTACCATCATTGCACGCACCTGGACCGGCGGGCATGCTCGCATGATTACTCATTCACTCAGAAGGAATAAGGAGCTTCGGGCATGATGACTCATGCCTCTGTAATCTTTGTGATCATCTGCCTGTTTAAAAGGACTCCTAGCCGTGTCTAAACTACTCCTCCAGGCCTCATGTCCGGCATCATCCTGTACGACATCCCCGGCCAGCACTCCGGCACCGTGTGGTCGCCGAATACGATGAAGACGCGGTTTGCACGGCACTGCTTCCGGTGCTTCTTCTGACGCGGCGCAGATATGTTCTCAACTATAAAGGGCTGGCCTATACCACCACGTGGGTCGAATACCCCGACATCGCCGCCGTCCTGCCAAGAGGTCGGCGGCGCGCCGACCCGGATCCGCCCGGACGGCAGCCCATTTTATATGCTGCCAATGATCAAGGATCTCTCAACCGGTTTGTTCTGTGTTGCTGCCGTGCTACCCTAACAAGTTCCAGGGAAAGTGATCACCAACTCGTTCGATATAGCGCGCTACCTCGACGAAACGTACCCCACCGCCCCTAAAGCCCTTCCTTCCGGCGACTAGGGTTTGCTCCGCGCCGCAGAAGACGCGCTCCAGCCGCTCTTCATCACTATCTATCGCTTTGCCGGCCAAGCGACACACGACATGCTCAATCCCGCGAGCCAAGAGCACTTTGGTCGCATGTATGCCACCGCGTTTGGCACGGCCATGCAAGACTCTGGGACCGCGGAGCAGTGGGCGGCGGTAAGCCAGTCCTTTGGTACGATAGATGGATGGCTCCGGGCTAGCGGGACAGCATATTTCGGCGGTGGGGCGCCAAATTACGCTGACTTTCTTGTTGCGGCGCATTTGCTATTGTTGCGGACGGTGTTGTCAAAGGCGCGCTGGGATGAGATGCGGAGCTGGCACGAGGGGAGATGGAATAAGTTGATGGAGTGGATGAGGACGTACGAAGCCGTTGTGTAAGCACGAAAGAGTGTGACACGATGTGACACGATTATCACTTTTTAATCTTGACACTTGAAAAAACCAGCAGAGACTGCCACTAAAAGACAAATTAAAAATAACGATCAGGGTTAGGGTAGCAAAAAAAAGTGTAGCCGGAAACAATTATATTGCAAAATAAAATAACTCAAACAGTTGATACCGTTTGCGAGGAGTTCCAAAAACTTTCCCCAACGGGGAATCGAACCCCGCGCTCAAGCGACCATTACGTAAGCGATGAGAAGCTCATATGTTACCGATACACCATCGAGGAGATAGTAGTCGTGAAGACGAGGCGGATACCCGAACAGGTTGTGCGCTAAGTCGAAACATTCAGGGTTCCGTGTTTATCGTATATTACCAATACACAATTGAGGATTATAGAAAGAAATAAGTGCTCTACCTTTTGGAGATGAGGGTAGTCTTGACCTCTGCCTGTTTGTGTTGCTGTTATTAGTGATGGCCAAGTCCGGTTCGGTCCGGTTCTTGGCCGATTTTGGCCGAACGTGAACCGGGGTCCCGGGGGTGCTAGGTATCCTGGAACAGACCAGTGATCCTTACCACTTGGGATCTTTGCCATGACATTCCACCTCATTTATTTTGCTTAAAAATCTGGTGAAAATCATGTTGCTTAAAACACGACTTGGGCTGCATGATCCTATATATGGTCATGGAGGCAGAGTAGAATATGTAGGCTAGGAACTTACGTTTGTATGTACAACTTAAGTAGGTATCTGGTTACACCAGTGATAAGCTAGTTTTATTTCACCCCTAACCGTACTTGAAGTATTGATGAGTTATTTTAAGCATTTATGAAATTATTATTCATGTCCGGGTTTTATTTTATTTCAAACTTGAATTTTAAACAACAATATTGAATAAGTACGAGGGCAGGAGCTTTATGCTTATTGATTCTTGCCAGCCCTGTTGTGTTTCGCGCTCTCACCAAGCTTGCACCTGTACACCCAAGCATAGCGTCCGGCTTGATATCACAACGCTCAGCAGAGACAAGCGGCTGCGACCAGTGATGTGGGCCTCTGCTGCCATGGAGATAAGGTGCGTCATCACACCGGTGTGCCCAAGCGGCGCGATAATTGCTTATCCATCTTCCCGCGCAAGATCGCATCGTGTGGCGCATTTAGACACGTATGACAATCACGCAGCCATCGTTGCGGCTCGTATGGTAGGGTACTCGACATCTCAACAGGGCACAGGCGGCTCTCACACCCCGGGCTCGGGGTGCCCGCTATAAGAAGCGAGAGCGCGCTTTGGGCCCCGCCCGATGTACCGTCGTCGATTCTCCCCAGGCAGGTTTAAATTTGAATTGATCAAGGCCCGCTATATTTGACAATGTTCTCTTCATCAAGGCCCATGACAACCGAGATAACTCGCCCTAGGTCCCCGATTCGGCGCCAGATAGTGACCACATATGGGGTGTTGACCAAAACCATCTCCCCTCCGCCGGTGGGTCAAGTCACGACAACGACGTCGACTACCGCAGTGCCCCCGCCGCCTCCGCCGCCCGTCACACCCAGCCAGGGCCCGTCAAGGACGACCCAAGTCTCGAACACTCCGGCGCATACTTCTAGAACGGCTCAGACGTCGGCTGTGGCTCCTAGCACCGTTCCGAGCTCCACATCCACTCCCTCGGCAGATATCAGCACTCCCGTTGGAGCATCAGCTTCCCTCCCCAGCGCATCTTTCGCACCGCTCCCACTGTTGTAAGTTCCTCCATTCATCTCGCTGAGGACAGGATGCATGACCACCATCAGGCCTCCAACAACATCAAGCGGGCCAGCATCCTCTGTATCAAGTGCGCCACGCGCATCCGCAGCCGGCATCAGCCGCGATGTGGTCGTCGCCGTTGTTTGCGGCAGCCTCTTCGGCACGCTCCTCCTCGCCGCCATTGCATTCATCTTCGTCAAACGACTGCGCAATCGCGTACCACTGAAGCCTGTGCCATTTGAACTGCCTTGGCCGCAGCGCCTCGCGCGGACCGGGCTGGGGAGCATCCGGCGACTAAAAAATCGGGGATTCCGGGGGAGCGGTGCCGCTGGGACGGCAGAATCGCTGCTGCCCCCGCCGTCGTATCATTATGTTCTCCAACGGCGCTGAGCGCACAGGTGATATGTAGCCAGAAACTTCAAATTGTGATACACGAATGTTGTTTTTGAGTTACTGTGCAATGTAGTCAGTGACATTGCCTGCTTGCGGGGTTAACAGGACCTAACTCTTTTTAGATGAACCTGTGCATGGCGAGGAAGAAAGAAGGATGGCCAGCTGGATCCGGAGAAGTTAAAGAGCTGTGTTGCCTGTATAGATGGGTTTCAGTGCACTGTGACTGACGCTGACCATTGACGCTGTTCTTCCAAACAACCGATTTTGGGGCTGCTTGTTCGCCACATGCTCAGTTAGTCCTTAGCACTTAGCATAACGTGTGCACCGTATGTTTTGCACAGAAAAATTCGCGACCCCTGCGCTCACATTTATTCAAAAATGTTTCAAGGGATACACACATTCATTTTTTGTCCTGTTCCATTGAGAGTATGCGGTCACTTCACCCCTGGCTCTCATAGGCATTGCTTCGGTGCTTCGGGACAAAGCTCCACTCTTCTGGCGCGGGGCCGAGGAACATCTCCGAGATGCGCACCCAGTCGCGGCTGTCCCCGCTCGCAAGCAGTGTTTCTGACAACAACTCGTCAGTCTACAAGCGGCATGAACAGGGAGATGACCGCACCTAGATCGTCCCGTCCACGGAATGCCCCCGGGCGCTCGTTCATCTTCGCCGGCAGGACCTCGAGGATGCCAAGCGGGACATAGCGGTACTGGAACGACAGTGCCTCGCACAGGTACCGCCGCGTCGTGTTCACGCCCGCGGTGTCGGTGCCAAAATGTCTGCCGCTCGTTAGAAAAAAGGTGATACGCTAGCATTCCCCATGGACGCACGTCAGACCGAACTCGGCGTATTTCCGGATGCCCTCGAGTCGCTCCCGCGACGAGATGTCCCACTCGCGGTGCTCTGCGGCGCGTTATTTCAACGGTTTGCGATGTAGGTCAACGCAACACACACCATTGATCTCAGTGAATATCCATGGCTTGATCAGGGCGCCGCGTGCAACCATCACGCCGTCGACACCGCTAGCGGCGACGGTGTCCCAGTACGCTGTGCCGGAGTAGCAGTCGCCGTTGCCAAAAATAGGAATTCGTGGTACTATCTTGTATCAATCGCAGATAACAAAGTGCAGGAAAATCACAGACAGTCCTCGTCCGCTTCTCTTGCACGGACTGCATCCACACAGGTCTTGATGTACTCCCAGTCCGCGAGCTTCGTATAGCGCTGCTGCCGTGTCCGTCCGTGCAGCTATTGCTCGTCAAATTCGACGATGAGTATAAATGTGAAATGCCACACCGTCATCGCGCCGACGCCCATCCAGCCCTTCTCACCCTCCGTCCCCGCACTCCCCTTGGTGCCCTCGCCCAACATCCGCGGCATCAACTTGTGCACCGTGTTTCGCCCTTCCTTCACCCCCGTGCGCATTTTTATCGTCACTGGGACTTCGCCAAGCGCCCGGGACATGCCGGCGACAAGGCGCGCGAGACGCGCCGGAGTATCGAGTACTATATTGCGTGAGCCACAAGATGAATGATAAAAAAGTTGATGGCCTACATGCACTTCCACTCCCACTTTTAAACACCAAATCGATCGGACACCCACAATTCAGGTCCACGAAGTCCACTCCCCCGCCCTTGTCCACGAGCTCCCGTCCAATAACCTCTGCAGCCCCGACCACGGCGGGGACTTTAGAGCCGGCGATCTGTATGCCGAACATACGCTCGCTGGGGTGTCGTCGGACCAATGACCACTCCTCCTTGCCGCCGGACAAGAACGAAGTCGCCAACCCCATTTCGCCACACGTGATGTCTGCACCATACGACACGCAGAGACGCCGGAAGGGCAGGTTACCAACGGTGGTGAGTGGGGCGAGATCTGCAATGCGGTCTTAAATCGCTGTGCTTCACTGGGAGAAAGCCGCACATGTTTTTCCCTCCCACTGTAACCTCTTCTTCTCTGTCCATCGCATCGGCACATCTGGGGTGTCTTCTGCTGCCTCCAATGGCGCGGCGTCGCCAGTCCGCTTCTCGACAACATCATCATCGACCTCCATAGGTCCTTCCTGCTCCGCCTCCCCAAATATCACTGCACCACCCTCCGTTACCCGAACCGGCGCTTTCGTCGCACGCTTCGCCAGATCCTTCGTGTCCTCCTTGTGGTACGCGCTCATTATCGGCAACGCGTACTACCCGCCATATCAGCGTCAATTCGACAGCGACACCACGACACACCTTTTTTGACCGCAGCGCCTTCTGCGCCTCTGCATTCAGCCGGTTCATCTCCGCTCCAGCAACAGCCATACGCGCCCGCTTGTCCTCGTCCGTCACGAGCGTAAGGACGCCACTCTCGTTTAGTTTCGAGTGGGCCGACAAGTACCGACAGCGAAAGCCGAATCTCGACGGCTATGAGCAGGTGGAATGCAAGCGGAAAGGGGAGATGACACACTGACACACACCCAGCTCGTCGAATAGTGGACACCGTGTCTCGCTCTTGACTGCTGCTTCTCCTTCGGTCGCTGTAGCCCCACCATCCCTCTCTGTTTTCCCTTCTCCCTCCATTGGTGATTCATCTTGTGACTCGAGGGGCAACGGAACTGACATCCTCTTGACATCCTCGGCGGTGGGGAGTCGTAGCTCGGGTGGCTGAGAGGCAAGGTAGAGGCTGACATCGTGGTTGTTTCGACATCTAGGGGACGTAAGCACTTTTGTCTCTCGACAACGGAAGGCAAAGATGGGGTCAAAAGAGAGATTCAAACGAAGCACAGCGCGGAAGGGGAGGGGAAGAGGTTAAGCGTTACGCACTTCTCGCCATATTCGCACCCCCCACCGCCCGCAATGGCATAGCATAGTTGCACACCCGCATCCCGCACCTTGCCGAAGCGCCGCCCCGTATTCATCCCGCTGCGCGCCTTTTTCTCTGCTTTCCTCTCTGCCTTGCTCTTCCGTGGCTCGTCACGGGCGTCGCGAGAGTCGCGAGCATGGCGGCGGATGTTGCCGGACCCCTCAGCGGCGTCGTCGTCAGGTGCAGGTTGTGCGGGGCGATGTAGGAGGTATCTGAAAATGGGATCTCAGTGGAGAAAGGGACGAGGAAAGGGGACGCACTCGGGTTTTATGGGCGCGGTTCCCGGTTGCTGCGTCGACATTCGCGTTTCCTGCTTGTGTGGGATGAGCGCCGCGTCGAACGCACGAGCGAGTTGGAGGAGAGATGAAAAGAGGTGACACGTCACGCTGACGTAGCTAATCGATCGCAATCGCGAAAAATTGATGTCAGCTGTCAATCTTTTTCAGCAACGCCCACTTCCAGTTTCCATAGCCTTCTAGTAGGCCATGGCTTAACTCTGCGTGTTGGATGATAAGCATATCGCTCCTAGAATGTAGGTTCTGTATTTCCGCCTATTTGCGTTTTTTTCGAGTTTTCCAAGGGGGGCGCAAGATGCCTATCACGGCTATGGGGCAGGGGGGGGGGGGGTCCAGAGCCTAGAAAAAAAACTTTTGTGTTTGGTGTAGGGATGCTTCAAGAGGTACTTAGGAGGCCTTAGGAGGCCTTTCATATGTAGATCTTCCATGTTAAATGCCATTTGATACCTTTGAATGCAGTGAAACCCAGTTTTTTTGGTGAAGTGACTAAACTTGTCACAGTCTTTGATAGCATCAACATATCATCATGATGCAAGAAGCAATACAACTTTATATGAAAGTTCATTTAAAGGCATAGGAACATTATAATAGCCTAGTTACAATTTAATTTAATCACATTTTCCATTTTCAAGACCTCTATCAATCATTTTGATGCGATTTTGATCGCATCAGTCACGTTTTCGTGGGAGATCATTACTATATAAGGCAGGAGGGGGGGGAGGGGGGTCTGAAGGCCCAGAAAAAAAAAACATTCAGCCCTATGTACATAATTTGAATGTTGGGCCCCCCTTGGAGTTTTCTTCTGCCAGTGGTTTCTTCAAAGTATTCAAGTTTGTTGCTCAATGAAAACAAATTCAGGATCCTCATGAATCTAACAACAACATCATCATCGATATCGTGGCCCCTGAGCCACTGAGTCATACTTAGTTTGGCTTCGCCGAAGCCGCTAGATGGCCCTGATCATCATTCAGGAACGGTCACGACATCGCCTCTTGTCTCTCAACCACCACCACCTTTTTCCATGTCCTCTTCCGAAGGCGACGTCGGTGCAAGTGCCAAGATCGCGCTACCTCCCGAGCTCCAACGTTACATCCTAGAGCTTGTTGCCTTGGGCTCCCCTGTGCACGCGCGTGGTCTCTTGTGTGTTGCTTGGCGGGTGAAGGAATGGTGCGTGGCATCCTGGGGGTACATACTCGGGAGTGGCTGATTGCTTTCTAGGGTGGAGCCACTGCTCTACCGGACGCTCGTCGTCGGATGCCGCCGCGGCCCGGATCTCCCGCCTTGCGATTTCGCCACGCTTGCGGCCTTCTCAAACGCCCGGCGAGGCGCGGTTCGTAACCTCCTGATGTTTGAGAGTCTCGCAAAACTTCCTGCGTCAGAACTCGCAGATCTCCTCGAGAGTCTCCCCGGGATCGAAGACCTTTACATGGCCGACAACGAATTCGACCGCAAGTGGTCACCGGCCCACCCTAATCCTGGCACACTGCGGGCTTTCAATAATCTATCACTTCGGCGCCTGCATTGCCTTCTCGGCGCGACCTTCGATCTCACAGACCCAACTCTCTTTACTCAACCTGCGTTTGCCAAACTCACGCATCTGGAGGTGTTCGACCGGCTGTTTTCGTGGGAGGACGACGAAGATGTCGATGCGGTCATCGCCTGCTGGAGCCGGCTGGCGGAGCTCCCGGCTTTAACACACCTCTCCCTCGAAGCAATCCCCAAGCCACCCTTTTGTGCGCAGATCCTCCAGACGTTCCCCCACCTCAGGGTATTCATCGCCCATGCGAATATGAGCGAGGTTCGCCGCTTTTTCAGACTCGCCGGCCCACACGCAGCCGTGGTGCGGCAAGACCCGCGCTTTATCGTCCTGCAGATCGCGCATTGGCGCGCGGACTGGGAGAACGGCGTGCTGGGCGGGGAGGACTCGTGGGCGAAGGCCGAGCAGGCGGTGGCGGCAGGGTATATGGTGCCCGAGAACGATCGGTGAGTGTCGGTCGTTGTGACAAGCCCAGGCATAACAAAAGCAAGTGCTGACTGATGCTAGACTGCTGCAGAGGAAGTTCGTCTTGGGGCACGTGGATGCGCCGGACGAAGATGATGACTAGGATTGCCGGGACCTTGAAAAGACGATCATAATCATCCAACGTCAAATTCTATTGATATTCAACGCACTGGTCAAGAGCCTGAGGCACATGGTACGCAATGATCCCGGGCGATCCCGGAGTATGCGTATGTAGCTGGCGGCAAAACGATTGAATGGCTCGAACACAATCTCACCGTAACTCAAAGCATGCCCTGTCAAGCGAATGTCGATTTGGACGCGGGCACTGGCCGCGCAAGCGCTTGCGCCGAACACCCGACTCGGATTATCCGCAGACGTCGGCACTGGCAATAACTCGCCGATGACCAGTGAAGCATGACGCGACTGACTGGCGGAATCGATATACTTATCGAGGTAACGTCTAAGTTCCCAGCTTCGGGGATGCCTAATTATAAACCGCTGACGCACCATCGCTGACGTGCGCGCAGTGAGCTTGGTCATTGGCGAGCGTCTCGGTGGTATTCCGAGCAGATGGTCCGACTCATCGGCGCCGCCTCTGGAGCGCTGTACTCTTAAGTACTCGCACTCCACCGGCTGTTGCGCAACACTCACCAATGGCCTTCGCTGATAAAACTAACGTACTTATAGATAGCACAGCGCGAAAGGTGCCGGAGTCGACAACAGTGTGCATTGTCGGGGCGGGCCCGACTGGGCTCGCGTGCGCGCTGGGGCTGCAAGCGAAGGGCGTGTCGTTTGTCATCGTGGACGCGCTTGGCGCGGGGCACAATAGCTCTCGCGCGATGGGCGTGCAGCCAGCAGGAATGGAGGTGCGGCATTAATATCGGCTATGGGGCCTGACTAAGCAAGTTTACTTACTCTCTCTCCACGTTAACAGGCGATACACGCGCTATCCCCACCACTCGCGGCCGCCCTAATTGCTGATGGCGTACCTTGTGCAACCTTCCGCACGTGCGACGTTTACGGCCGAGACATTGCCCGTGTAACCTTCGGCATCCTCGCTGCCTACACCAAATTTCCCTTCGCGCTTGTCCTGCCACAGCACAAATTCGAACTGCGCATGCGGGAAGCGCTCACCCAGCCAGTCTACTGGCAAAAACGCGTCTCGGGCCTGCGCGAGGTCGCTGACGGCGCCGCCTACGAGCTAATCTTTGACTCTGGCGAAATAATCAGGGCGCAGTATGTTGTCGCCGCGGATGGGTCAAACTCCACCATCCGGACTCTTGCCGCTATCCCTTTCGTCAACCCAAACACGGGACACGTCTCTGCCGCATCACCCGCTGACCCCGCCTTCATAGTCGCCGACGTCCGCCTCGCCTCGCCAATCCCGCCGACCATCCCTATCGATGCGGTCCAGGTAATGATCGGCGGCGGCGGCATGGTCCTCTCTGCCCCCCTCCGCACCGACACAGCCGATGCCACCCACAGCCTCGACTCGTTCCGGATCTACTTCGGCCTTCCTGGGCCAGAAATCCCCCCGAAGCACCCGAGCCGGGAGTATTTGCAGGCGCTTCTGGCTGCGCGCGGCCCCGGGATCACATGCGCCGAAACCGTCAGAAGCCGTGCCGCAAATCGCCGAGGTGTTTGACAGCACGAGGTACCGCACGCGCTCGGCACTCGCAGCGCGGTATGCCGTTTTCTCGGCGAGCGGCGCGGCACACGTGCTGCTGGCGGGAGACGCGGCCCACAAGCACAGCCCTGCGGGTGGGCAGGGAATGACGCTGGGTATATGCGACGGGGCTGCGCTCGCAAATGCCATTACACAGCACGTGTCGCGTGGCGGCGGCAGCGCGTTAGCGCAGTATGAGGTGCAGCGGCGAGCAGTTGCAAGGAAGGTCATTGCCATCGTGGATCAGATCACCGAGGTCGAGTGTGGCAAAGATGATTGGGTGGCATGGGGGCGGAGCTATCTCATCTGGGCACTGATGAAGTTCCCGTTGGTTCGGAAGACTATGGCATGGAGAATGAGTGGGTTGGGAGATATCCATACAATGGAGGTAAAATCAGGCTAGATTATGATATATCAATACTTAGTTACCAGTGATCAACAGGAAACATATGTGTTGACATGAAACTAAGGCAAAAATTGATGTGCTTGGCACAGCCTTCAAAGAATTTCTTTTTGAGTGTTTGGTGTAATATACTTCAGTCCGCAGAAATTCACAAGGGCATCTTGTGGCCTTCTGTCAAGATTCACACTTGCTATTGGCATCACAAGGAGGAGATACCCAACCTGCAAGAATTCTCTCAAGGATTCCACAGGTGGCAGTAACCAGAAGGGTGGCGAGAAGAAATATACCCATTTACATGTCCTCCTTTTACTCTTGATCACTGATTTAATTGACTTATTATTTAATCAAGCTCTTTTTATAATACTAAAGCCTATCAGAAGTAAATACTTTAATCTTTTTGATGGTCGAATAATTCATAACTTAACTTCGACTAAGACACCTGCTAAGCCCAATTATCTACTCTAATTAGAATGAAGAGCCTACTAATCCTAATTAGCAGAGAACATATGAAAATGCCTATGCTGCAGTAATAAATCTTCTATAACTGCAATAATTTCACAAGTTGAGATGTTAGTGACCTAAGTTTATGACTATGCTGCACATATAAATATTCACTACAAGATAAGAGGCCTTAGGCTGCAACTATAGTACTTATGCTATACTGCACCTTTAACAAGACCTGGGAAACTGCTTTCTAGAGAATCTGTGCGGCATCCACTTGTGAGTCATGGGCGGTATAGTAGCATTGTCACATACAACTTCATCAAGCATTATGCAACTTGTCAGACTTCGGGTCAGGCCGTGCAATGTCTCTCCTAAGAACGCCCGCCCAGAACAGAACAGATGGATCGTCGGGCCTGCAAGCAGAGTGAGCGGGGTAGATCGGCACCGGAAGGGCCCATTAACTCAGTCCCTTGGCGTGGTCGGTGGTCGAAGGTTCAAATTGAGTCGTGTCAGGCCCAATAGGTCGGTGATTCCTCCTTGCCCAGAGAGAAGTAGTTCTTCAGATGATCTAAGCAATAGAGTAGATGGTACGCTATCGCGCGTTTATATATATGGGCCCGCAAAGGGGGGGGATTGGACACCCTGGCCTCTCCTGCTCCTCCTCGCCCCCGTTTCTGGCCGCAGAGGGGATGATCGTACATAGGGATGCCAGCCGTTGCCGTAACGGCAACGGCCGTCGATGTGACGGGTGGGCTACGGTGACGGCCGTTGAAATCACGGCCGTCGGAGCGCATAATAGAGAGCCCGACGGGACGGGACGGCCTCCGGCTCTAATTCCATCAATTGACCACAATATCACCGTTTTTAGACCCAATATGGCTGATAAATGACCCGCTGTCATGAATGCAGCTCCAGATTAGGCTCGACACCACATGCTGACCTTCGGCCAGGCCGGGCTAGGGCCCGGCGTGACGCGACAAGGTTACATCATCTCTTTCGATGGGACCGCGGAGGGGGTTGAGAAGTCGGTATGCACCTGGCGCATTGTCCATTTGTTGCTGCCTGCAAAGTTATCGCAGATCGGCAGCAAATCACTGTTGCAATGGTGAGTAAACAGGTGATTTGCTCTATGATACCCGTTGACCCGTACCAACGGCCGTCGCGGCCGTAATTTGACGGCTGTTATGGCCTACACCCGAACCGTAACCGTCCCACACACTTTTTGATGCTTATATTGTTCTATAGAGTAATTCTTTATTAAAATCTGATAGAAGTAGTTTAGAGGACAGTTCAGAGCTCAAACAAGTCCCCCAAGCTGCACTGGGTCAGCACAGAGGTGGCTCTAGTATATCTACAGCCTTCTCTGTACTTATTTCTAGCTGATTTATCTTCCAGCTAGTCTGTACCTCTTATGCAGAGGCTGGCTTACTCTGCAATCCTAGGGAAGCAGGTACCTCATACCTGAATTATCTTCTCAAGGGTTACCCTAAGTGCTCTAATCCTTGTTACTGCATGCCTTGCAGATTATTTTCCTATAATGATTAACAAAATTCTTACCACACTTCCTAATAATATCTAAGGTGTGTAATTAAGTGTTGCACTGCTTTGCTTGATACTCCTATAGGTACAGTAATGTACGCTACACTATTATTAATAAAGTTAATGCTACTATTAGGCTTGCCTAGAACATTTCCAATGTGTGCTGCAACCTTGCTAAGGATGCTATCTATTATCTCTAGGTGCAGGAGGTTATCTCCATCAATGATTCTTATCTCATTTTGCTGATGTGCACCTATTTCATCTAGGAGAATTATTATTTGTTTAATATAGCTCTCCTAGATGCTTGCTTTGTAGAGCTTATATCCATCGTGATATTGACAACTAGTATAAGGCAGATGCACTTAACTGGATTAATTAGTACAATGCTAAGGTGTCAGCTACTGCTGAAGCAGATGTGATTAAGCAATTTATTTGTAAACATAAGTAACCTCTCTTAGGCTATAAATAGTATTAAATACGAACTTATACCAAAATCCTATATTTAAATAGATATGATCTACTTTCACCATATCACAACTATTTCTTGCTTCCTGCACTCACCTCTGTTAAAGATACCCTGCTTCCTTGCTGGCTTACGCGAGAGCTGACCCGTAATAGTTGTAGTTTGCACCTCCTAGTAGTACAGAGGCAAACCGTAAAGAGTTGTTACCCGTTACCCCCCATCATCTACCCTGGCGACCGGTCGGGCATCCCGGCGCCGATCTGTTGTATCAGCATCAGCCACGTGCCTCGTCGCACGCCAAGCCGCTAATTGCAAACAACCTCTAGTGCAGTTGGCAACTACTTGTTGCTACTACAGCCTCCAGCCTTTATTTAGTCATACTCCTGGTCATCTAGGCACTCTAAACCAATTTGTTTACAGGGAATAGTACACCCTCCTTCTTACAGCTGCTATAGCTACTTCTATGCAAAAGATGTGGACAACTGCTTCCAAGTCACAAATGTCACATTAGTTAAAAGAATAATTAATTATTTAAGAGGCTTGTAGAGCCCTATTAGTGATGGGATCAATGCTATTTATATATTGTTT